AGACGTTGGTTACTAATTAGCACACGATTTTTGAGATTGTATAGTAGTATAATCAAATAGTTTCTATATACCTCGTATACTGAAGACCAACTGTTAGTTGATGATGACATTGATTAAAAGATTGATGTACTTTGTTCTCTATCCATAGTATGATAGGGTCTTCTTTCTGTGGTTATTATTATTCTAACTCAGAAATTTGTTATAAAAGATCTATGAATGACTAATTCAGTCACAAATATATTTCGATAAAGATTTCATTTTCATGTTCCATAGAAATGGTTACCATGTAGTGAACGAGAACAAATATGGCAACAATCTTTTGTGTTGATGATGTTATTCAGATGGAAGATGAAAGCTCTACGATCAAACCATTCAGCTTAGAGAACAAAACTCTATCAAAATCATCCACTTGAGCTATGAATCTTCTCTACTATCTCACAATCGTATATATCAATTATAGAATATCTTGGTAAGAACTATACAATGATTACTTCATCTACAAAATATCCGTCAATTATATCAAACTTTGTTATTCCTTCATTTCTATACTAATCACTTTCTGTTCTCATTCTCTTCTCTTCAAATTTCTCAATCTTTTTTATCGTTAGGCATTTCAATTTCGATTAGTAATATATACTACTTAAATCTAATGATATTAGTAGTATAAACTATAACCTGTCATAATTTTATTATGACTGATGCACTTATTTATTTATTTATTTATTTAAACACATATATATTGGTACAAAAGGGCACCAGGTACATATGCGCCACACAAAATAATGAAAGTAGGTAGATAAAGGATGAAAAGATAAGGCGGGCTGAAATGTACAACCAGAAGATTCTTTCAGTTAGGAAAGTTAGAACCATTCTTTATGTAGAAAGTAAAAGAAGGTTGCAGCAGGATCGCCACTGGCTTCTATTCTGAGCCATATCCGATAACGTCTCTAGCCACTGTGTTGCACTATCTCTCGGACCCCAACCAGGGAGTCGTGAAGGACCAACAGAAGCTAGCCCTTTGCAGCTCTCTTTCATGCCACGACACCATGTCATACACTGACCTCCTCTCCGCTTTCTCCAACCAGTCCCAGGGTCGGCAAATAATGCACGACGCGGAAGTCTCTGGGACGACATTCGTAAAACATGTCCGAGCCACCGAAGTCGGTGTTTCAAGATGGTGACACCAATTGAATTATCGTCTCTGCGCCCGAACACACGATGCCGAACCTCTGCATTACTAACATGGTGTTGCCACTGGATGTCAGCAATCCTTCGGAGACAACGATGATCGAACACAGAGAGACGTCTAACATCCTCAACTCGGAGAGGCCAGGTTTCACAAGCATAGAGCAAAACTGCTCTCACCGACGCGTTGTAGATCCGACCTTTTACAGCCAGACTAACATCACGAAGGCGCCAAAGATGGCCCAGATTGGCATAAGCCACTCTGGCTTTCATTATACGTGCATCAATCTCATCACTCACGCCACCACCAGCACTTATATAGCTACCTAGATACACGAACTTCTCAACTACTTCGATCTGCTCACCATCCAGGGTGAGTACAGGATGAGAATCCTGCCAGTCTTGTAGAAGTACTTTGCACTTGGAGGGTGCAAAGCACATGCCGTACCTGCGGACACTGATTGCCAACTGATTCAGTGTGGATTGCATGCCTTGGGCATTATCGCACAGTAAGTCAATATCATCCGCATACTCGAGGTGGAGAAGTCGTTCTCCAGGCAACATATCCACACCGCCATTACTTACATCCATCAGAGCTGTTTCTAGGATGTCGTCGATGGCAAAGTTGAAGAGGAATGGGGAGATCGGGCAACCCTGCCTAACCCCACTGCTCGAATGGAACAAGGGAGAAAGGTGGTTGTATGCCCTCACTCTGACTGATGCACTACAATAATAGTACACCAGAAACTAGTAACAAGATGGTTGAACACTTTTTATAATTACTGTAACTTGTATAGCATAACATGATCAACGAACCCACTTCTCGAGATTTGAACCGAGGAACTGTCAGTCTTGAGCGCTAGCGCTTAAATACTAGACCGTTGAGACAGCAGGCATCCAACGGTGTTAATGTCTAACTTTTTTTTTAATGGAATCAACAAATTTTGCATTTCGATAGTGTAATAAAGAAGACTAAGATTATCAGAACTATGGGATGAGATATTAGCGCATTACATTTCGAACAATCTAATCATACATATACTTGTTAAGATCATTTATATATGAAAATAAAAGGTCAACTAGTCTGGATAATAAGCTAATATTCCCAAAGTACATTTAAGGTGAGAACAAACTGTTTTTGAATACACATAGAGGATTTGAATTTTTGTATGGTTAAGGCTTCAATAAACCTCAGTATACGCCCTTTTTACACTTTTATACAACACTACAAAAGTCAAGTTAAGATCAATCTTATGACGGTACTAAGTTCGAGTTCAAGAGTGGATACCACTGCTTGCCACTATCCATCTTTGCTTACAATGCTTGTGACTTCAGGCTATATCGAGGCATTACGCACAGCATACACATACGTTAATAAGAGACCGATCAATCGCAGTCCTAAATATCAATGAGAAGATTCAAAGAAATAATAACAATTGAATTCAAACTTCACCACATTGCACAAGGCAGTGGCTATCAGGACTCAGTAGCTAAGTGGATAACGTGATGGCGTTTGGAGCGAAAGGTACTGGGTTCAAGTCCCAGAGTGAACATCAACTCTGAGATGCAGGTATGTCCAGTTGACGAGCCCCAAGTAGGACGAAACGTGCGTCAAACTGGATTCCACTGCTATCCACTATCCATCTATGCTTATAATCTTATAACGTGTTTCGATTATATGTTTAGTAATACAGGATGATGAATATTTATTTTTTATTTCTGAAATTTATTAAGCGGTCTAGTGGTTAAGTGTTCGCGCGCGAGACTGATTGGTCCTGACTTTGAATCTAGCGAGGTGGGATCGTGGATCTGCACTGCTGGGGAGTCCAATAATAGGACGAAACGGCCTTACAGTGCTCCCAGGTTTTCCATGGTGGTCCAGCTTCAATTGACTCATGATCTCAGCTATTGAAATAATAATTAGTTTTAAGCATAATAATAAAATAATTACTTCTAAGTTATTAAAAACTCAATGGAGTTCAGCCAGTTCTGCCGTCAGACAGTAACTCATTGGAGACAATGGTAAACGGTAGAGCGATTTCGTAAATTGATTGATGTCAAACAATAACATTGTTGGATACCGATTGACTCATTGATATAGTAGTTAAACGTTAGCGAACAAGACCGATAGATCCTAGATTCAAATCTCAAGTGCGGTATCGTGGATGCGTACTATTGAGAAGTCCCATACTAAGATGAAACGGTCATTCAGTACTTTCAAGTTTTCCATAATGCTCTAGCTTTAATTGACTCATCAATTCAATTAGTAAATTATTATTATATCCACAAAACCCTTTACCGAAAAAAGAAATACTTGTTTCGTATAGAATAAATAAGAAAGATTGGTTAAGTGTAGAGTTCACTTCTCGGCGAATTCATATTGGTTAGGTCGACCTAACCATCCAGCTCAGAGAAAAAAACTCCATATAAATCATCTAACTGAACTACAAATCTTCTCCACTATCTCAAAAAGATAAATTATCTCATCTAATCAACCCAATGTGCATTTACCAATTTACCTGCTCATATGAAGTCAGGTATATAGGTCGGTCAATGAGTAATTTATCCGAAAGAATTCAACAACATTATCCACAGTGATTAATAAGAAGAAGAGGAAACGGCTGAATAAAAAGTTTAATTACTGAACACCTTGTGAACATAGATCACTCAATCAAGACAGACTCTGTGTTCAAACTCATCTGAAAAGGTGAGTAGAAGTCTTCCAATGACAATTATATTATATCATCTTAACATTGCTGAAGCCATAGCCATACAACTGGGAGAACCAGAATTGTATGTGAAAAAGTGATTGGTACAACCTCTTCTTCCATTATAGCTATCTGCTTCCCAACTTTTATCTTCTTAGTTAATACCTTCTACCTTTACCTAGTTTATTTCTGTTTCTATAATCTCTTTGATTATATTTCAACATTTTATCTTATTATGCTAAGTCATCCTTTCACAATGATAATTTCCCTATCTACCTTTTGTGGAATATTTAAGCCATTAACAATCAAAACGATTAAATTTTCTTTTTCTAATCCCTTTTTTGTTCATTCTGATTCATCATCATCATGTAATGATTACAGCTAAGAAAATGAGTTCGCCAAAAAGAGAACTCTTCACTGAACTAAAGACCACTTAACTACTAAGTTCTGATAGCCACTTACTTCATAAGCAAAGATGTATAGTGGATAGCAGTGGAATCCAGTTTGACGAGCGTTTCATCTTATTTGGAACTCGTCAACTGGATGTACCTGTATCTCAGAGCTGATGTTTACTCTGAGAGTTGGACGGAGTACTGTTCACTTCAAATGCCATCGCGTTTTCCACTTAACTACTGAGTCCTGATAGCCACTTACTTATGCAATGTGGTGAAGTTTAAATTCACTTGATAATGTTTGTTTGAATCTTCCACATTGATATTTAGGACTGCGATTAATCAGTCTCTCTCTTATTGGCATATGTGCATACTATGTGTATTGCCATGATATAGCTTTGATTCACAAGCATTATAAACAAACATGGATAATGGTTATCAGCAGAATCCAGGATGCTCGTTTCGTCTTATCTGGAACTCGTCAACTGGATGTACCTACATTTTAGAGTTGTTGTTTACTCTGAGACTCGAACCCAGTACGCCATCGCGTTTTCCACATTGATGTTTAGGACTGCAATTATTACTATCATTATTATTATTATTATTATTATTAGTAGTAGTAGTAATTACATGATATAATAAAAGTTTTCATTCATTTAATGTAAAGGTATATGGTTACTTACATATAATTCTGTATAAGTTTCACTATAGTTTA